TTTGTAATTTTTATTATGCAAAGAAAGTGAATTAACCTAAATCTAATTAATTTTAAATTAAAGAAAATGATTAAATAATTATTAATTAATTTACAAAAATTAATTTAATAAAAAGAACCTAAAACTATATTTTTTATGATTTTTTTTCTAATTTTTTATTGTTATTAAAAAAATGATTAAAAGAAATAAATAATTAAAACAAATAAATAAAAGAGATATGAAAATGGGTCTGATAGCAAAAGAGATAGAGGGGGTATAGTTTGCAAAACGCAGGCTCAGATCAAGAAGAGGCCTAGGTTGCCTTTCGATCCAATAAGGGAGGTGTCGTACCCCAAATTTACCCTACCTCTTTTTACTTTTGTTCGGCTTTGAACTTTGCATCCCATTTGCATCATTTTTACCAAGTCATTTGTATATACCGCATCTTATGGAATCACGCGCCTTGGATTAAGGTATTAGGTTTGTGCCCTCTTTATGTCTAATTTTGTTTTGAAGTTCTCTTATCAGGTAAAAGGGAAATTCATCTAGTTCTCAGTTAGTAGATCGTGGGGTGGATTCTTGAGGTATCATGTATTGCTTTCTTATCAAGTTACAAGGTTGTTTCTCGCTCGAATCCATCAGAGCTGGGATTAGGGTTTATTTCCCTATTTGTTGGTCAAGATGCTAGGGTTTTGGATCCCTGATTTTTGTGAACTGTTTCTTTCACCTGCCTTAAGGATAACTCGAAGTCAAGTACATTTGGTTAGGGGTTTCGTGCCTAATATCTCCTCGCACTGCAAGTTTTCTTTTTAAGATCTCTCAGTCACTGAGTCAGGAGTTTGAATTTCAAATTGATGAACATGGAATCCGGGTGTAAGAAATAAGGTTAGAGGTTCATGACGATCAAGGCGTTTTTTTTTGCTTAAGTTACGAGTTACTTGTGGTTTGGACATCAGAGTTAAAGTTCTTGTTGAGAGGGAAAGTTTGGTTTAGGCGTGATATGGAGATTGGGGATTGAAAGATAAGGTGTAAGGTTCTTGGAAGACAAGTTACAACAGTTGTTTGTGATTTTTTGAAAATCAAGTTACAAAGGCAAGATGTGCATTCAATTCATTCAAGTGGGAATTTCAAATTTTTACCAAGTCCAAGAGTTGTTTAACTTCTATACAACAAAGTTCATCATTAATAAAATTTATTCAAGTTTGCATTCATTACATTTTTGTGTGGGCAGTTTACAAAAGGATTACAAGTTAATGCAAGCTACAAATATTGTTTTGTTTACAAAGAAAGAAATAATGTTTGTTTCTTCAAGTCTTCTTTGCTTCATCTTCAAGCAACTAATCCACTCTTTGCTAGCCATGGTCTTCTCTTCGTCTTTTAACCTTTCCTCTCTTGCCATCCACTCCTCGTGTTCATGAAACAAGAAAAGTAAAAATTAGCAAACAACCAACATGTGAAAAATTCAAGCAAGAATTATTTGTTAAACAAGAAAGCTCATCATTAGGATTTGCATTTGGAATCAGAACTAAAAGTTTTTGTTTTTAATCATGGTCTATCTCCTGCTTTTGCAAATCACAAAAAGTTTGATCTTTTTGGTTCACAAAAGGAAAAGAAATTAGTATATATTTTTCACTCCCAAAAAGCAAAGTCAAACTGCAAACACATACAAAACTGTCCAACAGTAACAAAAACCAGCAAACTGCCTAATGCAGCACAAATAAAGCAAAACAGCAGCCTAAATAAAAGCAGCCAATAGCAGCACAAACAAAGCAAAAATAGCAACCTAAACAAAAGCAAAAACACAAGCAACAAAGTAGCCAACAATAGAAAGACTGGAAAATAGCAGTAAGGCCAAAAACAAAAACAATAGCAATAATTCACAAAACAATGCAAGCTAGCATTGATTCATAGCCCTTATGTTATCATGTTCCTAAATGACAAATCCTTCAGAAATTGTGAAAAAGCAAAATGGCTTTCGTCATAGAGAGACAAAAAGGAAAAGAATAGGGTTTAGGAAGATGCCACCTAACCAAAACAATCCAAATTTGCTTCAAACCAAACAAAACATGCCAAAATATGCACCTCATCTGTGCCACACCTGCTCTAAACAGCCTGAAAATGATGTCAAAATAGGCAAACAGAACCTGTACTCAAAAAGCCCAAATTCAGCATACTAACAATGTTTAAATTCACAAAATTCCCTCCAATTTTCCACCCTTTTCTCATGATAAGAAGAATCATTGTCTCATTGAAAAACAGACAGCAAACCAAGATATTTTTCAGACAGCCAAAAAATCAAAGAGAGAACACAAGGGCCAGCAAACCAAAAAGTGAAACAACAGAACTGAGCCAACAAAACCGAGAAAGAGAGGCATAAGCAATACAAAAACTTAGTTCAAAATACTTCTGTTCCTACACAGCTGAAACTCTATAGAAGTATCATATCAAAATCACTTCCTTTTTATCATAAGGAGAAGAAGGAAGATCTTGAACTCACTTTCTCTTGAAGAACTCCGTCGGAGATGCTCCGATAGGTAAAAATTTCTTCACCCCTTTGCATATTATTTGATATTAAATTATGTATTTTTTCCCATTGTCATAATTTGGTGTTGAACTACATACTGTTGATAATACATAATGTTTTCCATTCACCTTTTTATTCCCCTTCACCTGAGTAAGGCTGCGATAATTAGAGCATAAAAATGAGTTAACAAAAGTTTTTTCTTTCATAAACAAAGAACAAAGTTAAAGAGCAAAGACGTTAGATTAAAATCATTCGAAAGGAGAGCATAAGCGTTGTTTGAGTAGTAACCTGAGAAATATTGTTAACATAAGTAGACCCAAATTGCATCGATTATTGTTGCTTTTGATCCGCTAGAGCCGGACCACCATGCTCCCTTTGACACTTCCTTCCATGGCCACTCAGTCAACTCCGACCGACCAAATCTCCTCTGTACGCAAGATTTGATGCCGTTTCTTATCTTCCCATTACCAAGACATATTCAAAGGACTCCAATAGCTTTCAGACCCTTCCAGCCCCATCTCAGCCATTAGGTCCATGGTAAAATTCAACAACCAATTTAGCTTCTTTGATAACCAACAGTCCCCCTGCTACTCACGCTTCTTTGTCCAAACCTGCCTCCACCTAGATTCTGACGGCCACCATTCAATTGTTTCCGATGACACTAAATCACCACCTTCAAGCAATTTTCGATCCGCTACACCAATCAAAACCTCCTTCATATTACCTTCTATCTCACTTGTTACTACACAAACCATAAACTCACCATAAATCTTCCATTCAACACCGTGAAAACACATAAAATCTCCAACAATCTTCAAACATCATACCTGTAATTTGGAAAACAGAAAACTATAGAAGAAGAAATTTGGATAATCGAAAGAGAGGGGAAAGATCCGAATTAGAAATAAACCACAGCGACCCTGCTTCCTCGCGGCAGGTATGTGACGAAACTGCCGCACTTGAAGTCACCATGTTGACATGAAGAAGACACTGATAATAACACAACTGTGTCACTTCTTCAATTCAGCGACACTGCCTCCGATTCCAACAAGTCAGAAGTAGCTCCCAGCCGTTTTGATTCGCTTGACCGGATCTAGCACTTTTATGGTTTATCAATGTTTGTATGACTCAAATGTTTGATTGAATGCATGATTTTCTTTGCTTTGGTTATGTGCGATGGATTCGTAAATAAGGATGAAAGAAATAACAGAGAGAGGAAATGTGTGAGTGAGAAGAGGAAGACCGTGAGTTAACGAGAAGGAAGGAAGTTTTTTTCCTTCTGATTGTCTTAATTCAGTTGCTGGAAATAGAAGGGCTGAAATTGGAATCCTTTCCCAATGCTGAATCGAACGACACCCCCTTTCATTTTATTAGGGTTTTGAAACCTTTTCCACTTCCTCTCTTAGTCAGCGGACCAGCTCTGGGTTTGGGCCTAGCCCAACCCGTTTCCCAAGTTTTATGTTTTTATTATTTGGATTAAAAGAATAATAGATGAATGAGCTTGGCACAATGGTAAGAGATTTAAGAGGTTATACCGGGGGTCTCGGGTTCAACCCCACGCAAACCATTTTTTTTCTTTTTTTCATTTATTTTTCTTGTTTAACTTTACAGCTTGTTTAATTTGGTACAGTTTATTCTAATTATCTTCTTGAAAAAAGAAAAAAAAGAAAAAACAAGATATGTACTGCAATAAATAAAAAATAATAAAAATAACTAAAACATATTTAGAATTAGATTTTAATTTTTCTTTTAATTTTTCTTTATTTACTTAAAAAATCACAAATAATGTTAGAATGTTTTAAAATTAGGTTCTAATTTACTTTCGAATTCGTTATTTGTTAAATTAAGGGTTAATACCTATTTTCACCCCTGACATATGGGGTGTATTTGAAAAATCCCCCTGCCAAAAAAAAAGTTCCAATTGTTACCTTGACAAATTTTAAAAGTTTCAGTTTTTACCTTGAGGATGCCACATCACCTAAAAGGCTGATGTGGCTTATATTTTTGTTATATTTTTATTATTATTTTAATGACATGGCTTGATTAGTTGTCATTTTTAATTAATTTTTAATTTGTAATTCCATATGGAATTTATATTAATATTTTATTAATTGAGTGTTAATTCAAAGTTAAAATTTTTTTGTCCTTCAACAGGAATCGAACCATGGACATACTGTCTGCAGTGAACGCTTCTTACCACTAGACCAATGCATTTTCTTTGTTACATATATGCATCAATAAATATTCATATCATTAACTACCACTTTCCTCAAATGCATCAACTCAACCAACCCATTACACTTTCCTCTAAATTAATTCTTTTACCTGTAGTCCAGCACCAGCAAGGAATGCAAGTCTGATCTCTTTTGATTTAAAAACATGCAGGACTGTGACATCATCTCTTTTTCGGCGGTCTCGTTCAGACTGAGCTGTAAGCAAAACAACTTCATCCTCTAAACGACCGGAGCCGTATATCTTACCAAGCACAATAACTGCGTCATTTTCTCTACGTTGCACATGAAGGAAAATAATTATACTGAAGCAGTGGCTTTTTAAGATAAAAATATAAAAAATGTATTACATTTATGAAGAGCCATCTGGGAGATTCAGGCAGCAAGAGCATGAGAAAAAACTGAGTTGCTGCTGGCACACCTGATACTCCCAGCATCCATCGCCATGTCCCAGGGACATTTGCAAAAACAAGATTTACTAGATAAGAAACAAACACTCCACCAGTTATCATAAGCACATTTGTGGTAACTAGTGCTCCCCTTATTTCCGATGGTGACAATTCTGCAATATAAACAGGAGCAGTAACTGAAGCAACACCAACACCAAAACCAAAACCAACGAAGTGTAATGTGTTGGTTGAGTTGATGCATTTGAGGAAAGTGGTAGTTAATGATATGAATATTTATTGATGCATATATGTAATAAATTAAATGCATTGGTCTAGTGGTAAGAAGCGTTCACTGTAGACAGTATGTCTATGGTTCGATTCCTGTTGAAGGACAAAATTTTTTTAACTTTGAATTAACACTCAATTAATAAAATATTAATATAAATGCCATATGGAATTACAAATTAAAAATTAATTAAAAATGACAACTAATTAAGCCATGTCATTAAAATAATGATAAAAATATAACAAAAATATAAGCCACATCAGCCTTTTAGGTGATGTGGCATCCTCAAGGTAAAAACTGAAACTTTTAAAATTTGTCAAGGTAACAATTGGAACTTTTTTTTTGGCAGGGGGGTTTTTCAAATACACCCCATATGTCAGGGGTGAAAATAGATATTAACCCTTAAATTAATTATAAAACCACAAAAATATATTTAAATTTAAGTTTCTTTATTTGCTCGTTCAAACCTCGATGCCATATTCCCTTAGGTAGCTCCATCAAGCGATTAAATCCTGTTTCGATCGCTTTATATCGAGGTAGACTCTTAGCCCATTGTACATAATAAACAATTAGGATATTTCTTAGTCTCCCTCTTACCCCTTTTCTTTTGTAATTAAAAATCATTATTCACAAATTCAAAAACACCCTTAATCATTACTTGAATTTATTTTAATACTTGCAAAAACACTCAATAAATTAAAACTTCCCCAAAAGGGAACGTTATCTCCGTTCTACCGTGATACCGGACGTGCCTATTGCTATAATGTGTGCGTTAACGTCGCCCACTAAAAAACACAAACAAATAAACCATTTTCTAGAGGAACTACGGTTTTTTGATTGCTTCATTGGATACATAGGCAAAGGGTCACGAAACCCTCACGAACGCCATAATAAAAAACCATTCATTTCCCCCTTAAGGAAGTATAGTTGTAGATAAACACACCCTTTAAGACAAACAGACAAAATGGATCCCGTTGAGTACAACGGATGTGAGGGGTGCTAATACCTTCCCCTCGTATAACAGACTCGTATACCCTTTCTCTTGCTTGCAAGACCATCTTATCCATTCCCTTGTGGTTTTATCGATATTTCCCCTTCCTTCGGGATAAATAAATTTCGGTGGAGGCTCTGTGTTTTTCGCCGGTAGCTTCAGGAGGTTGTCGAAAGTGTATGATGGACTGCATGTTGAGGGTATTGGATCTGGATTGGCAAGCATCTGGAGGTAGGGGAATGATGGTGTACGGTGCACTCCTTCGATCTGGGAATACTGGATTTGCAAGAAACTTATTAGAAAAACAAAATTCCAGACCTGGGTTCAAAACTGGTCTTGGATTCGACAGATCGTGGCTATATCATCCAGTTCGAGCCATGATCCAAATTATGCCCTAAACCTAGTAAATCCCTAATTTTGCATCTAATCTCTCATGTATTATGTTAGAACAAATCAAAATAATGATATAGACAAGAATATACATGTTGAATTCGTTTAAGCTGTATGTATTAAGAGATTCGATAGGGAGAGTTTTACCAAAGTGAAGCGATTCGATGGGCTAGCTTCTGGGCACTTCAGGTGTGGATATGGACTGAAATAAACTCTTGGGAGTCTCAAGAATGTGAATGCAACACTAGTTTGTATGGAGGTAGGATTTTGGGAGTTTCACAACTTTGATGATTTTTTCGTGGAGCTTTGATAGGCAATGTGTGCGTCCTCTGATTCTGATTTGGTCTTGTATTTATATAGGGGTGTAGTGGTGAACAAATATGGCATGAATCATCCATTAACCATGGCTTTGAAAGAAAAATCAAAATATTTAAAAAGTTGCCATTTTGATAATTTTCTTGCCATTCTTGAAACATAATGAACTTAGACATGTTATGGTTGGTGTCTTGCTCGAATTTAGGCCTCAAGCTAATCAGTCCAAGCCCAACAAGCTTCATCCCATTAGGTTTTAGTTTTGACTTGTAGCTCCATTTCACAACAATTTGTTTTTTGTTGGTTCTTTCGACAAGCTCCCAAGTTTTGTTCTTCTCGATGGCTCTAAGTTTTTCTTTCATGGCTTCACACCAATTCGAATTGCTCAAGGCTTCACCATCACGACTTCTTCGATTAAGTCACCATCTACATCGATTGCTTGATCTGGAAACCTCTCATATCCAATCAACCTAGTTGAACTCAATTCTTGTTCTTGTGGATCTTATTTCCTTCTGCACATGTGGTTCTTCAATTCAACAAGTCGAAGTATCAACACGTTCATTTTGAATTATCAAAGCTTCATTCTGTTCATCTCCTTTGAATAAAGTTGTGATTGTGTCTGATTCTTGTCGAACTGAACTTCTACTCCAATCCCACCCTTTGCTTTCGTCAGTTCTTCTCAAAGCTTCATTTTGTTCATCTCCTTCGAACACAGTTGTGACTGTGTCTGATTCTTGTTGAACTGAACTTAGACTCTAATCCCACCTTTTACTTTCGTTAGGTCTTATTGAAGCTTCGTTCTGTTCATCTCCTACGAACATAGTTGTTACTGTGTCTGATTCTTGTCGAACTGAACTTCAACTCCAATCCCAACCTTTGCTTTCGCCAGTTCTTGTCGAAGCTTCGTTCTGCTCAAATACTTCAAACACAATTATGACTGTGTCTGATTCTTGTCGAACTGAACTTCGACTCCAATCCCAACCTTTGCTTTCGTCAGTTCTTGTCAAAGCTTCATTCTGTTCATCTCCTTTGAACACAATTGTGACTGTGTCTGATTCTTATCGAAATGAACTTTGACTCCAATCCCAACCTTTGATTTCATCTACAAGAACATCTCTACTGATCACTAGTTTATCTTCAATTGGTGAATACAAATTGTATGCACCAATCGAATGATAACCTATGAGCACCATGACTTCACTTCAACCATCTAACTTCTTTCTTAATTGTTCTTGTACATGTCTGAAACACATTGATCCAAAAAACTATAACATGACTTATATTTGGATTCGACCCTGTCCAAGCCTCATGCAGTGTCTTTTCGACCATCTTCTTTATTGAGCATCTATTCAGAATTTATATTGCTATTGAAGCTACTTCAACCCAAAATCTCTTAGGCATATTTTTAGCTTTCAATTTACATCTCGTCAAGTTCAGTACACTTCTATTGTTTCTTTCAGTTATGCCATTATGCTGAGGCGTATAGGGTGAAATAACCTCATGTAATGCATGAGCTTGTACCTTCCAAATGATGCATTTCTTGAGCTTGAGGATAGAAGACATATTAGGACCATGGAAAACATTTGAGACCTTTGGAGCTCACACATCTTGGTGAAAAGTGAAACTAGTTTAAAGGCCATTGCTTAGGAGGAGAATTTGTCTGATCAATTCTTGGTCAACCTTGAGCAATTAAGGACCTTAATAAGCATGCCTTGAATAAAATGGGAGGGCAAAGTTTAGGGTACAACAGCTGTCCCTGTTCAATATTCTTAAACTTGAGGATTTAGATTGGCTTATCTACCTTTTGTAATCTGAAGGTGGAAGATGATTGAACACTAGAGTGCCCAGAAATTTGCACTCACATGAAGCAACGCTGTTGGTTGATGATATCAGGAATGGGCTTACTGATGCCATTTGGAGAAGATAATAGAGAGTCATCAGAGATGGGCTTATAGATGCCATCTGGAGAGGTGATAAGGATCTATTGGAGATGGTCTTATAGATGCCATCAAAAGTTACTACTGGTAAGTATAAAGCTTTACTGCAACGTATAATGAAGGAATCTTTGACGACTACTACTTCGACAGGTAATGGAGGAATCTTACGACTCCTACTTCAACATGTAATAAAGGAATCTTTGATGACTACTACTTCAATAGGTAATGAATGAATCTGACGACTATTACTTCAACAGGAAATGAAGGAGTCTGATGACTACTACTTCAATAGGTAATGAAGGAATGTGACGACTACCACTTCAACAGGTAATGAAGGAATCTTACGACTACTACTTCATCAGTAAATGAAGGAATCTGACGACTACTACTTCAACAGGTAATTAAGGAATCTTGTACGACTACTACTTCAACAAGTAATAAAGGAATCTTACGACTACTACTTCAACAGGCAATGAAGGAATCTTGGACGACTACTACTTCAAAAAGCAATGAAGGAATCTTACGACTACTACTTCAACAAGTAATGAAGGAATCATGGACGACTACTACTTCAACAGGTAATTAAGGAATATAATGACTACTACTTTAACAGGTAATGAAGGAATCTGACGACTACTACTTCAACAGGTAATGAAGGAATCTTACGACTACTACTTCAACAGGAAATGAAGGAATCTTGGACGACTAATACTTCAATAGTTAATGAATGAATCTGATGACAACTACTTCAACAGGCAATAAAGGAATCTTGGACGACTAATACTTCAACATGTAATGAAGGAATCTGACGACTACTACTTCAACAGGTAATGAAGGAATCTGATGACTACTACTTCAACAGGCAATGAAGGAATCTTAGACGACTACTACTTCAACAGGAAATGAAGGAATCTTGTGACTACTACTTCAACATGTAATAAAGGAATGCTACGACCACTACTTCAACAGGTAATGAAGGAATCTTACGACTACTACTTCAACAGGGTACCGGAAGGAATCCACGCTTGATTTCGTCTGAATGATGCACTAGAAGATGTCTACACCTGACTTCATGTAGAAGAGATATTTTTCAGAATGACTTTCTGGGGAAAGTATTTGAGGGAAGTACTTGTCAGAATTTAGTTTCTGAAGAAATTTGTCTGGTCATGTAAATAGTTGATAATATTCGTCTGCTTATAGACTTTACATGAAAAGATAAAGGGTTAGCCGTGTGCAATGTCATGATGTATGGAGTGCATTGTGTAATGACGTTCTCAAAATAAACGAGACTGTGCTATATGTGTTTTGTATGCATATGCTATGATATTGGTAAATGATGGTGAATGTGAAATATTATTGAAGTGCATTCTCAAATTTGAGCAACATCTTAGTCTGGGGAAAATAAATCCCTTATTGTTGCAAGGGATGAATAGTATGTATATCTTCAATCTTATGGGGATTGTTTCCGCTGGGGAACCCTGCTTCCTTGTTTGAGGAAACTCCGCTGGGGAACATTGATTTATTGCTTTTTGCTTGAGGAAACTCTGTTGGAGAGTGTTAATTCCTGCTTGGGGAGAAGAATTTATGAATGTTGGTTGTTTATTGCTCTACTGGGGAGTTTATACACTGACTGGGGATAAAAGAGATGAATATTCCTTTCGACTCGCATGGGGAGGATAAAGTTGATTGACATTTGGTCCGGTTTCAGGTTCTATAGTAACTCCCTAGGGATAGTGATGAATTCACTAGGGAAGGGAAGTTTTGCCGGTGACTCATTGTCATCTGAGTAATAGAATCAAGCTGGGGAGATGAATCCTGTTGGGGAAATAAACCCTATTGGGGAAATAAAACCAGGCGATGGAGGAATTAACTCTATTGGAGAGAAGTAGTCTGTAGGGGCTTTTATAGTTTTGAAAACTCAGTTGGGGAGAGGAATTCCCTTGGACTGTAATGTTGAAACTCCGTAGGTTGGTGATATTTCCAGGAAGAAGATCATACTCCTTTATCCGTCAGAGTGATCTGCTGGGGAAATTGCAGGCGATGCATGACTTCGTGAAGATTAATTTGTGGCGATAATCTTATGGAATTGGCTCTGTGAGGGTCCGTGGAGACTTGAACATATCTCAACTTCTAGAGCCCTTGGTGACTACTGATCAGGGTGATAAGTCTTCTACTAATAGACAGGTGATGAGATGATAGGATATAGTCGTACACTTTAATCCCTAACTTTTTCCTGGACTTTCCTTTCATATTTTCAGTCCACCGGGATAACCATTTTTGCCCAAGCCGCCTTTTCAGGTTTTCCACTTGTCGGGTGTACAGTTTTATTTATATATCCCTAATTTTTGGCCGAACTCTTTTGGTTTGCCGAGATGCCCTTACTTTTTCCTAGGCCAGTCAACCTAGCGGGTCTTTTTTCATGCATAGTATTTTCCGACTATGTCCTCGTTTACAGGGTACGGAAAATCATCATTGTCCATAGCAGTAAGTGTTGCAGCACTGCCAGAAAAATGTTTTCTCGATCGTACGTGATCCTTTGCTGGAATTAATGTGTAATGCCCCAAGTGATCCAGATGGAGATCTATCCCTGGCTATTCGACACTTTTGAGAAATTCCTTGAATCTTGAATCGATTCCCCTCAGATCAGTTGGACACCATGCCATGCGCCTTGATTATGAAAGGCTTGTTATTGGAAATGTCTTTCCATCTGAGGTGATTTTTTTCATTGAGAGGATTTTCATTCATTGAATATTTGTCGTGCGGATTTCTCTGTTGTTGAACAATTAGTTTTATGCAAACAGTGGTATTAAAAATGCAAAACTTATGTCTGTCTTGAAGTTTTTTTTTTTTAAAATGCATTTTTTAGTGAAGCAAAATTTACAAGAATGTGATATCAACTCAAGATTTATAGCAAGCCTTATAGGAGTCACGATACCTTTTTGTAACAATATACTTTCGAACTAACTCATGCTTCAACTAGGACTTTTAAGGGTTGTAGCATTGCCTGGTTCATGGTTTAAGAAACAAAGGATAAGGCTCAAAGTTTATTTATACCCAACCTATTATTCATGATGTTCTCCAGTCCTAAACTCAGTTAATTGTGCGTTTGAATTCCTATTGAATCTGGAATGATATTTTGGTGATGGTTCAGATAAGTCAAGTTTATTGGAGAAGGTAGTCATTTTTTGCAACATTTTTCTATTGTCGAGGATTTGTAGTGACCTCTTTTTTGATTTATTATCCCTAATTTTTGCCTGACTATTTTTATTTTGTTTTGAGACTACAGTCAGCAGGATTCCCCAGTCTTTCTTAAGTCTCCTTTGTAGGTTTTGACTCAATGGGCTTTTTCTTTTGAGAGATAATGACTACCTATTTTACAGGGAACCATCACCGTCTTTTGTTTTGGAATGATACCTTTGACACTACTCGTCGTATATGAAGGGAAAGCTTGCAATTGAATGCACCATTGAATTAACTGAGAAACTACCTTGCCCCAGGTCATGATTGAAGGTTTCAATTTGTGTGAAAAAAGACAACTCCTACTTCTTAGGCTCAAAGGGGTTGGCTAGGTATTATCTTCCTTATAACTCCACTGTTTAGGATTTGAAACAATGCCTGTACATCGTCATCCAGGTCTGTTCAAAAGCATACTATAAAGATTATGGTATCTTTTCGTCATCCTCCCTCTAAAGGCTTACAACTTTTAATCGAGAGTCGAATATCATAAAAAGGAAGTAAAAGCATAGTTTCAGTATAGTGAAAATGAATGGATTAATTCAAGACAAACATATGAAATGCATTAATGGAATAACAAAGTTTGACACAAATAAGTGTTCGAAAAATCAAAATAAAATTACAATTTGAAAATTATAATGAACAAAAAG